CTTTTCTAGTTCTTTCATAGCTGCTCTCCCCATTCTTAATCTTCTAATAAAATACTCATTATAAATAAGAAGGCACTTAAGACAGAGCTCTTCTGGCAGGCCTATCCACCTGACCTCCCTAACTGAACATAAGATTAGACATGACCATCTTATAAGGACCTCCCGAGTGAAAAAGATTAGATCACTCAGGGCATAGACCTGTATTGTAATTTTATTATTGTTTTAATTATTGCTGTTATTTTATTGTTTTTACTGTTGGGTTTATTGTTTACTATTGTTCTTTTTATTACTGTTGTGGTTTTATTATTATGTTTTTCTTTTTTATTTATTGTACTACTGTACATTTTGTACATTTTATCTTTGTACTCCTGCCTCGATCCGTAGGGAGAGGCGGGAAATATAAATTATTATTATTATTATTATTATTATTATTATTATTATTATTATTATTATTATTATTTCCTGACTGCAGTCCCCATTTCTATCAATGTTTGATCCCAGATTACTTTTATTCCCAGGTATGGGAATTCTTTGCAGATTCTCTGAAGATGCCAGCCACAGATGCTGGCGAAACGTCAGAAAGAAACTCTTCGAGAACATGGCCACACAGCCCCAAAAAACCATAAAAAGCTAATTCTTTTACTATTTCTATTTCTTTATTGTCTAGGTTGAACTTGTGATGCTCATTATTGTTGTTTTCTTTATGTTCAATATAAAGCCTGCCTTAGCACTTTCTTCTTTGATCTTCCTTAGTAGGTGTTCCAGGTCTGTGAGGTTTTCTGCTAGTATTATGGTGTCATCTGCATATCTTAGATTGTTAATATTCCTTCCTCCTATTTTCACTCCTCCTTCTTCTGTGTCCAAGCCTGCTTTTCTTATAATATGTTCTGCATATAAGTTGAACAGATAGAGTGAAAGGATGCACCCTTGTCTGACTCCTTTGCCAATTAGGAACCCTTCTGTTTCTCTGTGTTCTGTTCTGACATTAGCCTCTTGTCCTGAGTACAGATTCTTCATCAGGACTATCAGATGTGTTGGCACTCCCATGTCTTTACGGGCATTCCATAGCCTTTTATGATCTGTGCAGACAAAGGCTTTGCTATGGTCTTACCTGCTCAACTATAAAAATCCACTGTTTTATCTATAGCAAGTCACACTCTCTCAGCTTCAGAGGATGGCAATGGCAACCCACCTCTGAAGAAACTTGGCAAGAAAACCCTATGAATGGTTTGCCTTAGGGTCGCTGCAAGCCACAGAAGTCTGTTCCCCTATTGATGAGGCATCAGCTGCCTGCCATTCCTGTCCTGTATCAACATGAGTGATCTCCAGTGCAACGATTTGAAGCAGGGTCCCTGCTGCAATTTCCTCTCGCACACTTTGCTCACAGGAGGGGTGGGTGAGAACATCAGTCATCTGTTTTTCTGTCAGCAGGGAAACAGACCCCTGCTGGTTACAACAGCTGCTACCTGATAAATGGGAATTGGTTGGCTTTCATAATCCCTACATGTCCCCTAAACTAGAGAATGCATCGGGATTGTGAATATGAAGCGTTGTATGTGTGATCCTTCTCAAATTCTATGTGAATGTACTCTGCACAGGGCTTTCCTTTTGCCATTTGGATATTTGAGATGTTCAAAACACATTGGGAGTTGCAGCTGCAGTTTGCCTCTGAAGGAGGCAACCTGTTCATTTGGAGTGCATGCTCTTTGCAGTCTGCAGATGGCCACCCATGCTAGCAGCTGAACTTAAAACATGGCTGAGGCCATTTAATTAATATCTCTCTTGCTGTGGCCTAATTCTCTTTTGCAACACGTGGCTTTCACTTGCCTGTCTTTGCAACTGATTTACAATGGGGTTTAATTAAATCCTACGTACATTATTCTGCATTCTCCAAAGGTGGCCCCAAAGCATCCAAGGGTATTTAAAATGTCACCTGCTGAGACATATCATCTCACCCTTAAATAAATATGACACTGATCAAACTTTGGCTAATTACAGGGACTTCATTATTTGTTTGTATGTTTTAATATTTAATTGCTTTCATGTTCATCCAATTATGGAGCAACAGCAAATAGAAATTAACTTTTTTATCTGTGTGTTCCCAGCCCAGCTAATCAGCACTTCAAAGGCCAAGCACAATAGGAAGTCATCCAACCTGAGAGAGCTTTACGAGGCACACTTCAGTGAATGGAGCCTTCTCCTGAATTCAGAGAACACAATGCACCAGACTGTTCCCAGCTCCTAATTGAGCCCCCTTCAAAATTATCCTTCATAAACCCTTTTGCCATTGTTTTGCTGTAGAACACTAAATAGTTTGCATTGTTTACAACTCCACGCTACAGCATTATTTAGTTGCAAGCTACTGCAGCATACCTTGGCAAAGTAACAAAGCTTAGAGAGCTAAAACCTGGCTTCTCCTTTTTGCACATGAGAATAGAATGCAGATGCCAGGGGCTTACACCATTAATGCCATTTAAGAAAGGGGGAAAAATCTTTTATAATGCAGCTAAATAAATACACTAATTTTGCAAGGCTTCTCAAACTCTGGTACTCCAGATGTTTGAAACCTCAGGTCCCAGAATCCCTGAGCATTGGCTATATTGGGTAGGATTTCTGGGAGTGGAAGTCCAAAATATCTGGAAGATCAGAGTTTGAGAACCAAAGTATAAAGTGCAATAACAATAGCAAGTACATTTCTATACCATTTATCAGTGCACTTAACAGTTTACAATGTGTAAATTAATTGCCCCCAACAAGCTGGGTACTCATTTTAGTGAGGGATGCAAGCCTGAGTTGAGCCTGAGCCCCTGGCTGGTATTGAACTCACAACCTTATGGTTTGTGAGTTAGTGGCTGCAGTACAGGCATTTAACCACTGCACATTCCCTTTGAACCTGGAAAATAGTGGCTATCGGTGTCTTAAGATGCAAAAAGTGAGTACAACTGGCCCCTACTGCCTGTGTCTTTGAGGGGCTGGTTCTAGAACCAGGCAAATACTACAGACAGCCTACACTGTGGGACTGGATTTTCTTCCCTGACTACTCCCTCTTGATTCTTCCTGTTGTTCCTTTCTCTGTGCTGTGTCCCATAGCCTGTCCTGCAATTTCTAAACTATCTTGTTTCCTTCACTTAGGCTCTCAGTGTTGAAGTCAAATTCAGTTGCCACTCTCAGGAGGCAAAGTGCCCAAATCCCGTGCAGAAACAGGATTAAAAACCTGGGGAAACTCCACAAAAATGAATTGATTTTCAGACACATTGGGGCTAATGGGCATTAACACAACATTAATCCAGACAAAAAGTCGACAAAACATGCTGATTTTTACTTTCAAGATTTTCCAAAAGTAAAAAAGCAGTGTGTTTTGTTGACTTTCTTTCTGGATTAATATCACTTTAATACTCATTAACTCCGATGTCATCTGAAAATCAATCCACTTTTGCAGATTTTTTCCACTTTCTGTCTGGGCTCATGTCAGATGTCATTTGAAAATCAATCTGCTTTTGTGGATTTTTCGTGGTTTAAATCTCGTTTTTTCACAGGATCCCTCCCATGTGATAAACTAGTATGTGAAGTTGGGGAGGACGTGTCGTGTTTCAGGCTGCAAAATGCATTGGGCCATCCTCAAGTCCTACCTCTGACTCAATTCATATGGAAAGAAAGTAATTGGAGAGAAGCACTGGATGGGAGTTTAGGAAGATGTTTGCTACCAAGCAATTCTAAAAGCAGAGTAGGAAGAACCACAATAGCCAGATGAACTGCAATTTGAAACTCTTTAAAGTTACAAGCATTTTAAAATATACTGGATTTTCTTTGCAAAAAATAAAAATAAAAAATATCAGAATAGAATGGCAGATTCCTGTACTCTTCTCCTTAGACAGAGAGTTTGAAATGCTTTCTTGTTAATGTAGCTAGTTTCTTCTGGTCCTCTTTGAGGGAGTATGTGCTTTTGTTTAAAACAACCACCAGCTGAATGGATGGAGTTCTGCAGGAAACAGGATATAGACATGGCCTTTAGAGAGCTAGTAAACCATCTTTAAAAAAAAAAAAAAACCACCTGAGATTCCTGTACTGGAATCTTAGTATTAGAAATTCTGAATTCCTAATATGCCATCTTCAACAAAGTGAACATAGAATAAAAGGGGCAGAGGAAGTTTGTCCCAAATAATTGTTCTATAAGGCTTAATATTCAGTGGATTCAGAACCCCAGCATTATCATGGTTCTGAATCACATAGGAGCCTCTGGGATTAAATATGAAAAGATTCCAAAATGCAAAGATATACAACTGAGCACAAAAGTTAAAATCATACAAGCCATCATATTCTCTACTACCATGTATGGATGTGAGGGCTGGACAGTTAAGAAAGATGATAGGAA